TAGGAAAAAGAAATATAAATTGGCACTATACGTTGGCACTTGAAATGTGGGACCAAAGGAGTCATACCTCAGTGATGACCAGCAGCAATATGACGATGTTCTGCTTTACTCCGATTGAGACTGGGAACTGTTTCGACGTCTCGCCCTAATCTTGGACCCCCTTTTTTAAAAACGTTTATGTTTTTCTGTCCCCTCAGACAGAATTTTGATCACATTATCATAGGAGGTGAGCTCTCGACCCTGTATGTTAGGGCCAATCCGGGGCTGAGAGGGATACAAATTCCTGCAGATACTCTACGTATTCTCCCCACTCGGGAATCGAACCCGGGGCTCCTACGTGCGATAGCAAAGCGTTTAACTGCTACACCACAGACGCCGGACTCTGGTCAGCACGCCGTCATGAAATTGGCGTATAACGGTAATGAACATTTTGAGGCATTCGTCTCCGCTGTGTTTTTCCAAAGCCACTCTCGACTGACAGTGACGAAGGCCTAGGTCAGATTAAATAACGATCCTCTTAAATAATTAAATAACGAGATCCTCCTCCTCCTCCTCCTCCTCCTCCTCCTCCTCCTCCTTCTACTACTACTACTACTACTACTACTACTACTACTACTACTACTACTACTACTACTACTACTACTACTACTGCAATGTTAACATAACAAGTTAGTTATTCCGTTAAAACTCTCTCTATGGTTCTTTCGTCTATTTTACTGCAACTGTCTTTTTGGAAACCTTCCCACTGAATCGATGAACAAGCTACAGGAATTCTTTGACTCGAGCTGCTTGCATATTTTTAAAGAAACCCCTCATGGGGCATGCAGCACCAATATTAATCCAACTGCCTTGGCTCCCCGTGAAAGCAGGCATTCAGTACAAGATAGCTGCTCTTTTCAAAAATTCATTTTATTAATTTTTTAGTGCGTCAAAAACATTGCAACACCATATCTATACGACACGGTCATCGAACACATGTCATCATGGCCTTTAATTTAAAGATCGGCCAAGAAAAGGTTGTTGAATTTCGTCCAAAGTAAAAGCCAGAGATTCGAAGGGAGAGCTTTTTTATCTCCTTTTCACACCACTTTATCAAAACTCAAGTAAGCTCTGAAATGGAATTGTTTCTAACCAGTTTAAATGTGTAATAATCGATGTTCCCAATACCCACATGTTTTTCTAGTTTATTTAGATATATCTATTTTTTAATTCTAGCTGTTCTGTGATAAAATCCCTGCAAGCGGCTGTGTGTGTCGTCATCGATGTGTGCGTATATGCGAGTGCACGTTCATTTGGGACAGTCTAAATTCAAACGTAATAAGAGAGAGAGAGAGAGAGAGAGAGAGAGAGAGAGAGAGAGAGAGAGAGAGAGAGAGAGAGAGAGAGAGAGAGAGAGAGAGAGAGAGAGAGAGAGAGAGGGGTGAGATGAAGGGAGGGAGAGAGGATCAGTACTGGGACTTTTTACTGTAAGGCGCACGTGTTATTTGTATATTCATAAAGTACATTATTATCATTATTATATTGTTGTTGTTGGTTTTGTTTTGTTTTGTTGTCATCGTCATCCAATCTTGGCATTTCCACAGCCCTGTACATTCGCCCTAAGATAATACTATTATTGTCTCTGTCCACACAGTAATTTGACCATCTCATCTCAGCATCTCTGCCCGTAAGTCCACCAGCACCTCTTCGCCCACATTTTTATGCCACTCTAAACGTGGGGAGAATTTTCATCGAGTGTTATATAATGTATCTCTCGATCTTTCTGTCGGGATGGTGCTCCCCCTCAGTCCGGGTGGGTCCTGATAAGCAAAACCGAAAGCTTCCTTCTAAGATGATTTAAAAGGTGTGGATAGGGAAACACCTATACGAAAAAAAATTAAGAAAAAAATGGGTAAAAGCCCAATTCAAAAGCATCACCTTTATTGCCACAAATGTACGTTTAGGTAGTTCATAATTTTCTTTCAAACTCTCTAGTTAGAAATTAGGGTTGATAGCCATGATGAGAATCTTGTTGTTAGACTATAATAATAATAGTAATAATAATAATAATGATAATAATAATATAATGATGATAATAATAATAATAAGCTAATAATAATAGGCCATAATAATAACAACAGCAACAAAAACAATAATAATAATAATAATAATAATAATAATAATAATAATGATACTGATGATGATGATGATGATGTTGATAACAATGATGATCTAGTATTAAATGATATTAGTGAAAAGGATGGTGATAATAATAATAATAATAATAATAATAATAATAATAATAATAATAATAATAATAGTAATAATAATAATAATAATAGTAGTAATACTACTAATAAAATAATAATAATAATAATAATACATTAAAAATAATAACAATAATAATAATTAAAAATAATAACAATAACAATAATAATATAATAATAATGATAATAATGATGATAATGATAATAATAATAATAATAATAATAATAATAATAATAATAATAATAATAATAATAATATGAAAGAAAAGATTAACGAAACCTCTAGTGCTTTTTTTCACAGTTACTCCCCTTGAAGGAAGCAAAAAGACCAAAGATTTTTTGTGTTGTTATTATTGTCTTCTTTTGAGTTCTGAGCGCGGTGACTTGATGCTTGACCTGGAGTCTAGAGATCTATCGAGATCTATTGATCTACATCTCTGCCTCTGTACACATCTTTTGTAATTGTTGACACTCCAGTTGACAAGCGCGTTCAGCTGTCTTATCAGGTGAACTAGCAACTTTAGCTCTGATATAAGACTTGTACTTGTAGTTTTATTTTGTAAACTTTCGAAAACTCTTTTTTTGGAAATTGCCTTCCCGTTTGTTTACATAAAAGAAACAGAAGTGATTGGACAATGGCCATGTAGGCTAAGTGAAACCTACCACTGTTAGCCAGTAATATTTTTCTGCCTTTTTTTATACGAAGTGATTATTCGGACTCGAGTCCAAATATGAAAAAATGTTATTCGGACTGTGATTCTTGTCCAGCATGACATCACTTCCGACTTCCTGTGACTCGTGAATCCGGCTTTCTGTCCTGCCTCACTCGTGAATCCGGCTTTCTGTCCTGCCTCACTCGTGACTCGCCTCAGGCTGGGTAGAGACCGGGATCACTTCGGGCAAAAAGGCGTTTTGTGCCGGAGCCAAGTTTTAATTTTATGATGAATTTGAGGCCGGCCTGAAAAGTTAGAGCGCTTCTAATAAATGTTTATTTGTCAAGAGGTCATCAGAAGCAATTAAAGATGGCTCGTTAGCGTGTGTCGGGGTCGGATGGGCGGCCTGCACACGTGTGGCTGTGTGCGTCTCGGGGAGGGTGGTGGGGGGGCACTATCGGTCCGGGCTTTGAACGTCGCATATGCGTCAGTCTTTTTTCCCCCGGCAACTGATCATTATTACAATAATAAGCTAGTCTTGACGTAGATCTATGTAATGAATTTTGCGCTGGTCTATGGAATCAAAAGTTGCCGTATGCTCAGCTCTACACAGCAACACAACTTTTTATTGGTAAACAATCGATATGACACAGGCTTGTGTATTTGAACGTTTGAACGAATCGGTCTTTTTTTTTTTTACACAGCTCATAATATGCAGTTGCCAGGTGGTCTGCTAATCTTCAATTTTTACCTTTTTCTACAACAAAGAAAGTGGGAAACGTGGGGGGGGGGGGGGGTGTATCAATGAGGCGGCGGGCATTGGATCGGCAAATAAGGTGTGGGGGAAACTAAAAAATGGCGGAAAATTGGAAGCACTGAACGTTAGATCTATAGAACGAAGACACTTCCTTTTTTCCGGACCCGAGTCCTAATAACATTTTTTCATATTCGGACTCGAGTCCGAATAAGAAATTTTTTTATTCGGACTCGAGTCCGAATATATGAAAAAATGTTATTCGGACTTGAGTCCGAATAACGACGGCCTTTTTTATAAAAATTTTGGTGGACCCACCGTGTTTAGAATCTATAATGGTAGCGTCAATTGCCACCGAGTGACGCGGTGGCAATTGACAAAATTTGACTTTTTGTCAATTGCCAACGAGTGAAGCGGTGTCAAGTCTGAAAACAACACTATCTATTTAGCATTATACATAATGTGTGTCTAAAATGGGTCAATTTGTTCTCAACTAATTTCATTGGACGAGCATCTAGTCTAGAGCTACGGTACCAACTTGGCGTGTTTTCAATGAGACGTAGGCCTAGATCTAGGCTAGCATTAGCCTGGTGTAGAACCAACACAGGCAATTCTAGAAGTAGAAGGTCACAAACGCAAACAAACTCAAGCAGAAATTCACGTTATATCGGGGGACGGGGGTCAGGAAAAGACACACACACACACACACATACACACACAAACACACAGGGACAGAGAGGCGAACGCACAACACCGTGCACTCGAGCACAATATGCTAGATATCTACCCACCAACGCAAAAAAGAGCTCCAATTTACTCGGTGGCAATGACAAAAAGTCAATTTTTGTCAATTGCCACCACGTCACTCGGTGGCAATTGACACTACCATCTATAATTTAGGCCACCTCTCTCTCTCTCTCTCTCTCTCTCTCTCTCTCTCTCTCTCTCTCTCTCTCTCTCTCTCTCTCTCTCTCTCTCTCTCTCTCTCACACACACACACGCACACTTAGCTCCTAGGAAGTGGTTATTCTCACCCCGGGTGAGAATAACCTATTATTCTCACCCCGGGTGAGAATAACCTATGTATGTATGTATCGCTTTTCTCACTCCCTCGTTTTACCCAAGAAATGACCCTAGAGGGAATCGGGCTGAGGTTACCGGGGCCAGTACAGTCAGAGTTGTCAGTTTGGAGCCAAATCACAGAAATGTGGCTCTTTTCGATCGCGTATGGCCCGGAGAGTTTCATTGTACTCTCTGGCTCTTTTTTGGCTCTAAAGTCTAAACTCCAAATGTTCAAGAAGAAAGGGAAAGAAGAGGCAAGAAAAAAAGAAATTTGAAAGAAAGAATAAAAGGGAAAAAAATGAAAGTGAAGAAAAGAAAGACTGCTTAATCATTAAACTTAGTTATTTAACACCTTGCCCATTTGGTCTGAATAATTTACAAACCTTCTACCTTCATGCAAGAGCTTTAGTCTCATGCTCGTGTCTTGTTACGTTCGTACACACGTTCTGTTCCTTGAACCATAATTTATTGTGTGCAGGCAGAGAGGCCTGCCATTGTTAAGTGTGTAAACAACGAATGGTCCGGCTGGCGGCCGGTCCCACATCCTGCGCAGTAGCATCAGTAGTGAGACCTATAATTATTTTTTGCTGGAGAGGCGAAAAATGTTGTTACATTTTTATTATTCTATTTGTTGTTCATTAAAGATTTAATTTAAAGGAAAGATCTGGTTAAGATGATCATAATTATATATCTGTTTCACAAGTCTGCATCGTAATTTTCCATATCCCATATCCCGACTTTAATTCTGTAAGAGCGCTCCTTTATCTCATGGGATGGAACGTTTGAAGCAGGCTGAACTATTACCTTAAAAAAATGTAGATCAACGTCACTGTCGATGTCCCGGGGGTCAGAATAGCGGGTCATGAGCTATTCTCGAATATAAATGGTCTAGTTCCTAGCATGCGACAGTTGAGTAGTCTAGTCTAAGTCTTCATTTTTGCTAGTTTACAAGTATCTGATTGGTCAAGTTTTTGGATCCATGATGAAAATGGAATACAATTTATATTAAACGTAAATGTGATAATTTATTAAAGGTGATTCTACTGTAATATATATATATATATTCGAATTTGCACCAACCACAAAAATCTCACCCCATTATTTTAAATAAATCGCCTAAATTCATATAACATCAATTTTATATTTCTAATTCTAGACAGGATTGGTGTTTTAAAAAATTTTTTAAATAAAAATTTAAAAAAATCACATTTTTAAAATTTAAATCAGATTAAAAAAATTTTAATCAGATTTTTTATATTAAAAAAAAATGTCGACACTAAATTGGATTTTTGGTGGTTGAAAGTATGTTCTTTTAGTGCAAATTGCATTGTCTTTATTTTAACTAATGATTAATTTAAGCAACTGCAAAAGAAAGCCTTAATCTGCTATATCAGTGAATTATGGCTACAGACAAAAAATGAAGAAAATGTCAGTCTAAAAGGAAGGGGGGGGGGGGGGGGGGGGGAATTATGCATAGATAAACAGATAAACTTGCATTTTATTACAGTGTGTGTGTGTGTGTGTGTGTGTGTGTGTGTGTGTGTGTTTGCGCGCTTGTGTTTGTCTAAAAAGAAAAAGAAAATGCTCATTTCAATTATGGGAGAAAAAAAAATTGAATACTGTATTAATATTATTTTACCATGACAGGGGGGAAAGCAGACTTTTAAGCATGATTATATTAGTCTACTAAACCTTATATCTGTTTAATAAAACCAAGGAAAGGAATTCTGAATGTTTAAATATGTAAAAGCTGAATACATTTAAAAAAAAGTGATTTAAATCACTGATTTTTATTTTAAACATCAAGTAGATTAAAATTTAAAAAAATTGACTGATTTAAATCAACCCAGCTCTGATTTCTTATGGGGAAAAAAAGTAAATTGACTACTGTATTATTTTACAGAAAGCAGACTTTTAAGCATGATTGTATTAGCCTACTAAACCTTATATCTTGTTTTATGAAACCAAGGAAAGGATTTCTGAATGTTGAAATATGTAAAAACTTAATGAAAATAGATTTAAAAAGAGTGATTTAAATCACTGATTTTTATTTTAAAAATCAAGTTGATTTAAATTTAAAAAATCAACTGATTTAAATCAACCTGATTTAAATCAACCCAACCCATATTCTAGATGGATTGTTGTTGTTGTTTTCAAATCCCTTTAGCTGCAAGCATTTCGCTTTTGGCAGCGCAATGCCTCCCTCAAGTAACCACATGTCCTTGTCATCTGGTCAACGCCAGAGTAGAGCAGGCTGTGTAAGTCTGTAGGTGTGTGTAGGAGCTTGCGTCGAAGAACTGCCAGGGTTGGGCAGTGAAGGAGAAGATGTTCAACGGTCTCCTCGTGGTAGTCACAGTGTCTGCAATGGGGTTGATTCTGTTTATGTGCTTGTTGGTGTGTAAGTGTCCTGTGCGGGCTCTGAAGATCAATGTCTGATCGGCTCTACTTAAAAGATTTGAAGGGTCTTTGGGGTTGGGTTTGTCCTTGTACCTGAAGAGAGATCTTCCTGTTTCTGCATTGGCCCATCTGTTTAGCCTCTCGTCTCTGCTTTTGGCTTGGATGATCCCTCTGCTGGTCTGTAGAGAGGCGGCTGTGTCTGTCTGGGGCAGGCTCGCTCCAGTCTTTGATAGCTGGTCTGCAGTCTCATTCCCTGGTACTCCAGAATGGCCAGGCACCCACTGCAGTGTGACCCGGACGCCATAGGAAGTGCCCATCTGTTTTACAAGGCTGAGAATGTTCCCATCACCTCTGTAGTCTCCTCCTCCCTCGACGGCATGGAGTACTGATATTGAATCAGAGAAGAAAATATCCCCGGTGTTACTGCGCCTTCAAAAAAGTCTTGGGATTCTAGATGGATTGGAATTAACCTAAGAATACCAAAGTTTTGTAAAACATAACCGATGAGAATATTTTCAAGCAAGAAAAGAGGCGTGCATTATAAGAAAGTAAATAATGGTCAAAGTACCAGATTTTTCCTTCAAGAGCGAAAAGTATGCGGCGGTAAAGCTCCGAACTTGGTTAGGTGGTTTCTGGAGCTTTTTGCCTAAAAATAAAAATAAAGAGAAAGCCTAGGAAGCACCCATTTTATTTTTTGATAGAATCAAATGTGCAACAAATAAAAGAGGGCTTTGATAATTCCATGATACAGTGGTCAAATGATTTTCAATAGCCAAGTCGAAGTTGCCACATGGCCGAATTTGCCCCAACCTGCCCTATGAAACTGAAACAGAGTACAATAGAGGGTCGGGGTTTGGGGTAGGGTGTGGGTAAAGGTAGAGATAGGGTTTGGGTTAGGGTTAGGTCTCTTCTTAATTGTGTTTTTCCTGGGGTGGTCGCACATTAAGGGGAGGAGCGACCCTTGATTTTGCAGATTTTTGGCCAGGCTATGCAAATTATATGTTGTTGGCTGATTTTTTAAGATCAACCAGTTTTTTCTCTAAAATAGCATGGATACATTTGAGAAAGTCTTTTTTCTTCTCATACATTTCCTTTGAAAACCTGAGCACGGATTAATATAGTGAATTTTCACAATATTTGTCGTTTTTCGCAAAATATAATTTTTTTGCAGTTTTTTCCCTACTCCTTCCTTAGCTTTCATCCTTTTGACATGAAACTTTCAGGAAACATAGATGGCAAGGCTGCCATCAATGTAATACAGAGATATTTGCGAAAACCATAACACTTTTCCTTTGGCAAGCGATTACGCAACCTAAATTTAGAAAACGTTTTTTATACTTTGGGAAAATTCTCTTTTTTTTTTTCTTTCGCACTTATAGAAAAAAACTTGCTGTTACTCTGAGAGGGTCTGGTTCAGGTATACTCTCACCAAATTTAGTCAGTGAATAAGAAAGCCTTAGGGATTTGAAATTAATTTTTTATTTTCAAAATGGCGGCCGTTTCCATAGCAACCGCTGTAGCTATGCCAAAATAAGACTGCATATCAAGAGATTTTACTATGCGTAACTTATATGTGTACTTAGATTTGATCTTGGACAAAAAACATTGAAAATGGTCCTCAAGGGTAGCTCCTCTCGTTAAAGAAGTCCTTCCCTAATAAACTTTTATCCTAATCTAGAGCTAATTATGGTTTTGGCAATGATATGGTCACTTTATTTTTAAAACTGATGGTACAGGTTTTCTAGACTTTCGGAGAGGATTAGTTCGCCATTGTGCTCTGACAGTGGCTTGAGCTGTCAAAGTTTTTACAGCAGATTACTCTCCTGATTATTCAACTTTTCATACAATTGTCCCTCTTGCTTCCTCTTGGTAGAAAAGCCATGGTATGGTCGAGTTTGGATAGATTGAAGATGGAAACATCGAATTCACAAAAAGCTCGAACAATGCCATTATTTGACTGAACTATATTTTCTTTGCATTGGCACCATAGCATTCTCAAACACTGGCATGAATGTGTCAAACAGCTCATAATCATATTATATAAAAAGTCAGATCAAATTTTTTCCTCAGTCTGTCTTGAATTCTAATCTCCCTACTAAGCGCATGATGGAAAACAATGTTCAAGCCCATCATCATTGAGAGCATTAGGTTATATAAGCCCACCAGGCTCACCCCCACGCAGCATGATGCACACACTGCTATCAAGACACACATAAATAACAGTACATTTTGTGTGTGTGCCCCTTGCAATGCTGTGTATGATTATTTTTAAAGAGTCGGGACCTTTAGATTTAACATTTATATGATAAAATGGGCTGTATATATAATGGGAATATTTATATATCATGCCTTTCCACTTTACAAGAAAACAATATTGGACTGAACTGAGCTTCCAACCCTTGAACCCACAATCTCACGATTATTTATCAGTCTGGTAGCCTGATTGCTGGACTACCCATGCCACATTATCAGGTACTTTTCATGATGACTGTAATAATTTTGGACCATTTTATCCTGACGCTGCTTCCTTGATTTTAATTAATTTAAAGTCTCCTATTTTCCGCTATGGCTATTTGATTTATTCGAGTATGGATGTCTTAAACACATTTGTCAACCCTCAACATGTTATAGAATTTCCGTGCCCCCCGACTGTACTTGAATTTCTTTGTATAAGAGATTACTCCTCCTTATAGTCCTCATAGATGGTAGAAGCTGACTTATCATAGAAGACATCGTCTAGATCCTGGGTCCACAGTCATTCTATGAGCTGGTTACTTCCAATAAATTTATTCTTGATTTTTTAGGATAATGATCTCTGTTAATGTTGGGGGCCACTAATGATAAGTCCTACTTAGTTATTGTCCTTATGTTGCCTCTGTCTGTTTATTTTGCCTTTGCCAAATACCAAAAGGCAATCATCATGTTTTTCTTTTTTCACTCAAAACAATATCTAGTATAAACTAGTGGTCCTGCATTGTTGTGTATAAATAAACTATTTAGATGCCTGCTTTAAAAATGAGAGAATAAGGACATACATCCTCAGGAGGCTTCCATGAACATTTGATTTTGGATAAGCATTCATACATTGTACTTCTTGCAGCTTTAAAATGTGTTTGCTTCTGTTTCTCTTGCCTTGACCTTGAGTTTTCAGCACCCAGAATCTTGACCATGACCCTGTGGCCCATTTCGAGTGATGCATCAGCTTGGAATTATTAGGTGTCTAACATTTCAATTTTGTCTTCGAGGCTTTACACTAGGGGTCACAAACTCAAATTACCAAAAGGATGCTGTAGATAGTCTGGATCAGCCTGGACTGAATCAAGTATTCAACAAAACAAAAGGTTTCAAATATTTAAAAAAAAGTCCAACTGACTGATCTTACCTTCTCAATATTTGATAATGTCAGTTCAGAACATGAACATTTCTTGAGAACATAGGCTACTTTTCTTACCTACTCCTTGCTGCCAAAATCCAGGACAACACCTTGATTAAGTAAGAAAAGTGTATGGGCTGCCCTAAAACTAAGCTTTGATGTGAAGTCAAGTAGGGGCCGCTAAATGTCCTACTGTAGGTGTCAATTGGCTTTTGGGCTTTGAAATGTGAGATCCTTGTTTTACATTATCTGCAGGTACTAAATTAAAAACTAGTGCTTTACTTCTGTACCTGATATATGCTTTGTCTTTTTGTTGTTACTTTCTGTCATCATTCTCTGGCTTTTGACTGAACAGGCCTATCTGAAAAATGTATCTCATTGCTCCCACTGCTTTTGCATTTTGGTTTTTATTTCTTTTTCTTCCAGGTCTGTCACAGACAATGAATGGGCACATTATACCTGGAACAGGTATTGCAGTTGATTACTGGAAAATACGCGGGGGCCCTGAGTCGTACATTCATTTCTTGACCCATCTCCATGGGGATCATATTGTTGGTCTCACATCTTCTTGGAAGCGGCCTATCTACTGCTCTCAGTTCACGGCGGACATGTTACACCTTTACTATGGCATCCCATCCCACCTGATCTCTGTCACACCTGTCGGACAAAGCATACTAGTCAAAGACTCATCATCTAACGGGTTCACAGTGACAGCTATTGATGCTGACCACTGTCCTGGCTCTGTTATGTTCTACTTTCAGGGGGACTTTGGTAACATTCTCTATACTGGAGATTTCAGAGGGACGCCTGGTGTCTTAGATGCGTGTCAACATCTCGCTGGTAAAGTGGATACTTTGTATTTAGATAACACTTACTCCAACCCCAGGTGTGTATTTCCTTCAAGGGAAGAGTGCCGGCAAGAGTTGATCAGAATCGCAAAGATGCACCCTGATCATGATATTATTGTGGGTGCGCTGAGTCTTGGGAAGGAAATGCTCCTGGCACAACTTGGAGTGGCTCTGGATGAGACAGTCTATGTTTCTGCCAAATGCTTGCGGGTGGCACAGCTTATCCTGGAGACTAATGTGTTTGCCACAGCCGAATTGCACGGCCAGCGGGGTAGGCTGAGGACTATGCCTATGCATCAAGTCACACGCAAACTCATACAAAGACTCAATGAAACGACTCCCACTATTGCTCTTCTACCAACGGCACTTTATACAGGTTTGGTACTTTTAGCTCTTATAAGTCGTACGCCTATTCCCTGCTTTTTTGCAACAGGTTATTTTGACACTTTATCTTTGTGTTTTCAGCATAAAAAGATGTTTCAGTTACAAGCATGATTTTTCCACCAAAATTTTAAGAAAAGAAGAAAGATTTTGTAGATGACACAGGTGTGTACATCAAGCTGATATAATTTATTATAGATGAGGACAACAGGAAAAAAACATATAATGCACCGTCTAGTCAGTAGACATGCCAACTCCCAAGAGTTAAGACAATTAGTATAATCATTAATTTCTTCCAGTGGAGGCCTGATAAAGAATATCTTATGATATCATATCTTCTGGCTAGGCACAGTATTATTATCCACACCTCTTGATTTGAATTTTAACACTTTCATTTCTGCCCTTTTTTTTCCAAGCCAAGGCAGAGCCCTTTATGCACAAGCCAAGACGCAGTGTTCTACTAGTGCTCTCATATTGGTGTTACAGTTTATCTATTGCTTCAATGTATGGAATGAAAAGTAACTCTTTGAGTTAAAGTTGATGCCCATTAGTCAAATGAATAATCTGTTTGAATTGGATTAGGTTATGATCCTGGTCACTGCGCGTTGTTTTAAACTGACCTCTCCTTAACTTTCTAAATTCTTCTACTATTTTCAAAACGAATATAAACAAAAGAGGTAAACAAGAATGATATCTTATTCCCTCTGTTTGTTTTTTTCTCCACCGTAAATTAACTTTTAAACAAAAGGGTTACTTGCATTTGTATAGTTTTAGTATTAGGCTTGTAGAAAAGTTACAGTAAGGTATCAAAAATAAGTATGCTGGCTGGCAAATAATGGTGCTGGGAAGGTGAGCCATAGGTTTGGCCATGTTGTGTCCAAAAGGTCTGGCTGGCTTCTTGGCATAGAAAATATTGCGTATGGTACTGTAAGTCAGGCACAAATAACACGAACATAAAAAACTGAAAATCAGGGATAATTCATACTATGTGCCAGCCATTCCCTGACTGATATCTCTTTAACTAGTTGCTATACGGTTTACCCGAAATATGGATGTGTTGAAAATGTTTGTCAATGCCCAAAGTATTTGAGTTTCTGTGCTAGACTGTACTTACAAAAGGATTAATGAGTTTTTAAAAGTTTTAGTAAGAGTTTTACACACTTGCAACACTATAAGGTCATATAAGTGCCGGAATTAATGAATTTTAAAAATTTTGCCACAAAAACCACAATCCAAATTTTATCCAGCATCACTAAGCAAAAGAATAATGCTTGATTTGAGGTTCGAAATGAAAGCTGCCAGAAATTCAAAAAATACCCTGACCTAAACGGCATTAAGTGTTAAATCCTGGTTTTAGTACTGTTGTAGTTGTATATCTAGAGTTGTTGAAGAAGTAGATTAAAGTAAAAAAAAACCAATTGGTGAGTGGAGTGGATGTACCAGTTTACATGATGTACTCCTCTGGGTGCCAGGTCTGTGTTTTTAAAATTCTTTCTTACTTGTCTCTTTTTTTTTTTTTAGCCAAGATTGACTTAAAACTCTTACTTAATGATTTTATTACTAGAGGGTGCAGTTTGGGATATTTTTGTGTTTATGAATTTTTTTGGTATGAAATTTATTTTCTCAATTATGCCTTTAAAACTCTCATTAGACTCAGTTGTTCACAGTAGTCTTAACAAAATTCTACTACACCTCAGTAAATTCGTCTAGTCTATAATCAAACTGTATGTTTACTGCTTGGGTTGGATCATTCATTTCTATGCAGTTTGGTGTTATTTTTTGCAGATGAGTGAAAAAGAAACATAGTAGGGACATTTTTGATGCTGAAACCTTGGATGATAAATTGGCTGCAACAGAGGAAGAATAGCCTACTGAATACTAATTTTTAACAAAAATTGTGGGGTTCTTGCTTTCCGTTTTTATTGTCTTTCATGTGGTACATTATATTATAAGCCAAAAAATGTTTTTACTCTTTTCATTTTCATATCTTAAGACTTAAGATGGTGGGAGGTTATTTGTTTTTAGAACAAATTCCATGATTTCAAAGAAAAGATAGTAGGTCTGGGAATGTCACTTGATCAATGATAGTGTAACTGAATAGTTTTGTAACACCAAGTTTTCAATTTTCAGTCATCAAATTATTTTCCAATATTTTCTATTTTTCATACTGAACTTATTTGTGTGCATAGTGATGAATGTTGAGCCACACATGTTTTTTCAAAACACCCCATCGTGTTGTTGCTATGAAATTTCTGCACTGAATCTGAATCTCTTTTACTTCCTCATTTCAGGTTTGGACATATCGCCGTTTTGCCGAGAGCCGAAAGTGTTCATTGTACCGTATTCTGACCACAGCAGTTACCCAGAGCTCTGTCAGTTTGTGTCCACAGTGAAGCCAGTGGCGATACATCCTATCGTGACGTCAGGACGAGGGCCGTTTGGGATAGACATTAGTGACAGAACAGACATGGACTTGTACAAGCAGTATCTAAGCAGACCCAAGGAAGCAACGTCATTGTCAGATAGGGTGCTGCAGTCAAACTCTGAAACCATAGAGTCTTGTACTGGTGGTCATGAATCTTCCTTTACACATCAAGCTCAAAGTAAATCCGTCCTAGATTCAGATGTAGATGGAAAAGATATTGATAGGACAGGGTCACAAGGAAAACGAAGGAAAAAACTGAAGCAAAGAGTAGCAAAAAGGAAGGAGGCGAAAGGAGTCGTGTTTGGTGATGTGGAGCAAGAGAGTGTTTCAACTGATGATCCAGAAGGGGAGGAGGATGATGGAAATGTGTCTAAAGTGCGTAAGTGTTCCTCTTTGAGTTCGGTTTATAGTAATTGTGAGTCTGAGTTTGTGCCAGAGTCCCCAGTCTCAATTGTGGCAGATGTGTCGATGAATGTGCTAGCAGACATTGGTAAACACATAAAAGCAAATGCTACTGCACCCCCTGATACAGTATTCAATGAAACTGTTCAAGAGGAAGAAACGTCTGGAAGCATAAGTGTAGTGACACATTCTCCTTCTGATGTAAGTGGGAATCAAGGACATGATGATTGTCACTCTCCTTTAAATCACACCACCAATGTTCCTGCGACTTGTGACCATTCTCATGTAAATTATGTCAAAACTCCTTTGCATAATAATGTCCATTCTCCAGCTCAGTGCACTAAAAGTCCATTAAATTGTGTCCACACTTCTGTAGATTGCGACCACACATCGGTGTCCAGTGTCCACAGTGATGACAATAATTCAGACCAGAGATCTCGTGAACCTGATACTTGCAGTCATTCAGTGAGTGGTCACAGTTCTGATGTTGATATGGAAGGAGAAAGAGAAAACTCAGCTAGTTTTTCTCTCAATGACCTGAGTGATAGTTGCAGTGAAGAGAGCCATTTAGTGAGTAAAGAGATACTTTCATCAAAGAAAAAATTGACAAATTGTGTGAAGATAAGAAACAGCTGTGATACAAATAAGGATGAATTCGCAAATGATTCGATAACAGATTCTCCGCCTGCGTGGAGTCATTGGAAAAACCATGCACTCTTTTTGAGGCGGTGGAGAAAAGAAGAAAGAGAATTGTCACCTCTTGACAGTGCTATTGCTGCCTTGAAGCCTAGCCAGACGTCCGTGAAGGAACAGCAAGTCAAGTCTCAGAGGTTACCATCAGGGTTTTTAAATTTTACCATTACCAGTTCCCATAGAAAGGCGAAAGTGACTGATACTCGTAAAAGCACTCTAACTGATCTTCCAAAGTGTTTAGGCAAAGTTCAGAATTCAAGGAAAAGAAAAATTGAGTGTTCCAATAAATCCAGCTGATTTCTTATTTTATGTAGTATTTGTTTTTATATGTCAAATAATATTATGCATCTTAATCTGTTTAAACATTTTTCATTTAGATGTCTTTGTGTCATTTCCTGATGGGGAAATCAAGTCATCAACTTCACGGCCTTCCTCACCCTGCATCAAGATTTCGGCTTCGAACAAACACTTTCCACTTTTCTCTATCCTGGGCTTGCCAATTGATATTATTCGTCCATGTCTTCCCACTTTTCAGTACATTCTCTATGACTTCCCTCAAGGTTCCTCATGGCCTTTCCATTGATCTCTTTCACTGTACAACACTTTTTTTGTTATGCAGCTGCCTGACTTCCTCAGAGTATTTCGTATCCATCACCACCAACTTCTTCCCACTTCATCTCTGACTGGGTTCTGTCTTGTTCTCCTTAACACTTCCTTGTTGGTGACCCTGTCTGTCCATCTGATCACGAGTAATTTTCTCAGGTTTTTGTTCAAGAAAATCTGGATCCTCTTTATATGCAAGTCTGAGATGCATTACATGTCTCACATTCAAACGAGAGTGACTTCTCATTTGAGTTGAAAATCCTCAGCTATTTTCAGATGCCGCGGTTCTCCAAATCCTATTGAGATGTGAAAGCAGCCTGTGCCTTTCTGGTGTGGGACTTGATTTCAGCTCTCCCTCTCTGTCAGTTATATTTATAATACCGTAAGGTCGTGGGTTCGAATCCCGTCAGGGGCCCGACGTTGTGTCCTTGGGAAAGGCACTTTACACTTATTTTCCTCACTTCACCTAAGTGGGAATGGGTACCTGGGACAGCGAAAGATCTTGTCTGTTAGTGTGTGAGCGCTTAATCGGCTGATCGCACTGTATGCTTCCCGGGAAGCTGAGAATGTTTCGGAGTGCTCTATGGTCTGCTGGGGTAATAATATAGTGTAAAGCGCATAGAGCCTGCTGTTGAGCGGGGATATGTGCTATACAAATGCTATCTATTATTATCTATTATTATTATTACTTCTAAGATATGAGAAGATTTCAATGTGTTTAAGTGCATTTCCTTCTAATGTGAGTTGCTTTTTTTTGTGGTGCATTTATCATAGCACTGTTGACTTTCTGGGCTGGATCCTCAATCCAACAGACTCTGATAGGCTGTAGGGAAAATCAAGTATAGGCTTACTCAGTCTCTGATTTGACCTTCCATTAGGGTCTTTAACTTCAACAACGTTATATTTCTTTAACTTCAACTTTTGAATGAGTACTTTTGAATTGTAGAAAATGGACAATAGTATTGAAGCATGGATAGAAGATTGCTAATGTGCTGCATTTTACCCTTAATACATTAATTTCACACTCTTTTTGCCTTATTTTATCTCAGTTTGTCTTAATTAATGAGGAGGTAGAGTTAGCAATGGTGATTGCCTGCAGAATAAAATGCTGTGCTTGATTGTTTTGGTAATCTTGTAATTCATGTATCTTGAAAAAGTTTCTAGCAGCCATATTTGATCTAGATTTTTCTGCTTTATTAGCTCAATGTGTTCATCAAATGTTAGTTTTTGAGTCACAATTTCTTTACGCTCTGAGTCTACACATGGCATTTATGGTGTAACGGTTAAAAGGGCTTTACCCTCGCATGCAGGAAACCTGAGTATAGTCTGAGTGGGGAGACATTTTTATGGTGTATAATTTCAGTCTTTCTGATGGGAAATGATATCACTCTCAGCCTGGGTTGACAGGCAGGGTTCGAAGCCCGCTTTCTAAATGATCTAAATTGTGTTTATGGGGGCGTACAAACACTTACTTAAAAAAAAAAATATTCTGAACTTACAAGATCTATGCTCCTGAGCTTGTTCTGGCTGACTGCTTGATTTAGGTGACAGCTTGTTTGGGGTGTGTGTATATGATGTACCTACAAGTGGGTAGGCGTACGGTAGAGCAGGTGTGTTCAGGTCCATAGGGCTATACCAAGTGTACACTGCCAATTGAAATTTTCATTTGGCTGAGTGTTGGGCAGCCAGGTTTTTCTTCACGGACGAGCCCAAACACTGCCATTTTTACACAATTCGACTTAATTTATCAGTGACCTTCAAAATCAATCGTATTTGCTTTTCAAGGTTGTGAGTCAAATCATTTGCATTGTGCCAAAACGGTAGTTTCTTTAGTCCTTCCATGTAGGGAAATCTGGTTGGCGCATGCTCAATTTCATAGAAATTGATTGGTGGTGTGCAATGGGTATTAGGATTTATGGTTCTCATTGTCTCTAAAAGAATGTGGATGATGTGCGACTGCAATACATGAGTTGATGTTTCCTGTTAGACGAGTGTTATACAATGTACTTAATGATTTCTTTCTAGCTCTCTGTACTTAATTTACTAATATTAATTCAATGCCATTGTGTTGATGTGTTTCTCTTCAAATATTAAGTTCTGCCTTGCTGAGGGGTAGTTTTGAGCTTTCGCACTCATTTACATGTATTGCCTTGTTGTCAAACATAATGAATCAATCTTGCAGAGTTCATGAAATAAAGAAAGTTGAAGAAATATAATATATCAATGTCAACATACTCAGGGATTTGAGTCCATAACTATTGTGCAATCCGGCCAGTGTAGTTTCATTTTCATTAACGTAGAAAGTATAATTTGAGAACCATAGAGTAAAGGCATCATGATGTGCATTAGTCAAATCACGCAGCCCCTTTTTTTCTCATGAATCTCATCACCATAATTTCTGTTTCTTAACCCTATCCGTACGTTGTGTTTTTCTATCGTATCCATACAACGTAGGGAACTCTGTACCACCACTTTCCAAAGAGGAAATTTACTCGTTAATCAGATCCGATCACTTTGCATAGCAGTCTGTCAAAATGATTTTTGGAGAAATACTAAAAGTTTAAAAGAGATTCTCTTACTAGAAGTATTCTAAAATATGAAGAATACAACCCCGGTGGTACAAAATGACCCCAGGGTGTACGGATAGGGGTAATTCTGTTGAGGACTGTAAATACTGGTTTAAACACTGAGTGCATTATTGGTATATAGACTTGACTCGGAACATAATGCATCTCGAGAACATTACCTAGGCTGTTAAAAAGGATTCATGTTATTACCTTTAAGCTTTCCATTGTTGAATGGGGCACCTAAATAAAATGACTTTTAGGGCAGAAAGACCCTTTAGTAATTCAATGCAATTCTCACCATTATTGGTGCTTAAAACTTCACAAAACTCTCTTGTATTATATTATATATATATATATATATATATTTATATATATATAAATATATATATATATATATATATAAAATGCATTTAGTAGGCCTACTTGTTTACAATATATATATATATATATATATATATATATATATATAAAATGCATTTAGTAGGCCTACTTGTTTACAATGTAGGCCTATATGGTCAGTTAAAATTTTTATGTCAAATCAAATTGAGATAAGACTAATATAAAAGCCTATTTTTTCACTTTTGCCATTTAATGGACTTGTTTACAAGTAATGTTCATTTTAAAAAAAAGTATTTTGGAGTAAAATAAAGAAAATGTTCAAATTCTGATGTCTTTGGTTTGGTGCATGTCACTTTTCATTTATTTGAAGGATTCTGTTGTGGGGTATGGAATCAGGACTGTCTGTACTGTAGTCCAGTTTGAGTGATAAAAACAGAATCTCCGTCACAAATAGCTAATTATGATTAAATTTTTTTTAAAAAGTGATAATGTTTTTGTAAGCTGCACAGTGTCAGCAGGTGAGCATCTTATGATGTGTAAATTTTGAGAAAAGCATACTTTTTACATGCCCATTCACTGTTCTGATATTCTCACAAATACTTTGGAACCAGATTAAAAACACAAAACAATGGCTCCTACCTAATGTGCCTGATTTTTTATTTTTGCTAATCCACTTTAAAATTGTTGGTGGTTTATGGTAGTACATGTAGGTGCCCTGTCACAATCTGTTTCATGGTGAAATTTGATTTCAAGAGATATAATTGCATTTTTTTTTTTCTTGTAAATGTATTTTTGTTTCACACACACATTGTGAAAGTGAAAGACGAAAAATTTACGTTTAAAGGGAAATTACTCCATATTATTATACGTGGATGGAAGTTTGATAGACGTCTTCTTTGATAGATGTCTTCTTTGATAGACGTCTTCTTTGCAAGGCCAAATCTTGGATACTCTGATCTCGTTAAAATGAACTTCAACATTATATAATTGCTGGCTATTGGTAATTATGTAATGATGCCATTTTTGTATCCTCTGAGCTTCTTGGAAAGAAGGTAGTGGGAAACTAGCAGGATTTTTTCTGGTTGGTCCTTGAAAGAATCTTAACGCTTATTAAGCAGCATTCTGTACAATATAGTTTTATTAATAATAGTATTTTTTTCCCCTTTAAATGTTGTAGGATTTTTGCTCATTAAATTGGTTAGACTCCAGGTGACCTGGATTTCAATCTCGTCTTGAACTTAAATATATTGTTTGGAGAGTTTTTTGATGATCATGGTTCAAGCACTTAGTGGGGTGTTTTTGAACAGGTTCTTTAGTTAGTTTTCAAGCGTAAAAACAAGAATAAATCCTATTGGAAATGAATGTTAATGTTAAGTTTGGAGGTTACCCTGCTTTGACTTCGATCCTGAACCCATACTTTACTATGTCTTCACCCTATGACTACTTGACATAAAATTATTTTGAATCCTGAGGGGCTGAGACTTGTGGTAAAAATACAGGAGACAGAAGAAGAAAGAACTTTCATTTAAATTTTGAATGTTTTGTTAAGAGGTCACATGCAAATGTTTATAAAAAACAAAATAAAACTAAGTCCAAAGTAGGTGCAGTAACCTTTATTTCTATTTAGTTTGAGAAGCTGTCAATTTGTCAGAGATTCAATTGTACTAACTGCTGAGAGAGTAAAAGGAACATCGTGACATTTCAGACAACAGCACTTTGAAATAACATCCCGCTTCAAACAGCTTTTGGCATTCTCAGGCCTACATCCTCCTGACCGTTAGTTTCCCCAAAAAGAACATCATGTATCACAACGGAGTTGGAAAAATGTCAGATTTATTTGCAGATTGTTGGTTCAGTTCCTGGAAATATTATCTTAAAGAGAAATAAAAATTATAAAATAATAATGAATGACATAATTTGATTTAGTGCAAAAATGACAATAATAACAATGGATCACATAAAATGATTAATCAATATACCTGGTAGTACATTTCCTCTGTATGTGTGCACAAGGGGTTTTGCTATTCCTCACTTTGACTTGCTCCTTTCTCCTCATTACATGTAGAGCTACAATAGTGGTTGAGGGGAGCCACTGGAAGGTCACCTACTCCTTCACAATGTCTTAACTTAAAGCTGTGTAGGAACTGAACATTTTTCAGAAAAAGGAACTTTCTAACAATACAAATGTGGTGGCGTCGGTGACCTAGTGGTTAGGCTACCAGATCCGTAATCGTGAAATTGCGGGTTTGGGGTTCAAACCTCAGCTCAGTCTGACATTGTGTCCTTGGGAAAAGCACTTTACTTTACACGAATTCCCCAACTTGGCTCGGTCCTTTCAGAGATGGACTACAAAACTACAAAAACCATCAACATCATCATCATTGCCTTTCTGAACTTTCTCACTCTGTAAAAGCACAGGCACTGATAAACACTGTCCACTTTTTCCTATCCAGGGCTAGCTTCTTGACATTATTCCACAAAATCCAATCAATGTAGAAATACATGTTACATATAACATAGCAAAACTTGCTTATGAAAGGAGCTAAGATAGTCATCATATCATTCAGGTGAATTTATGAAGGTGCTGAAGTTCATGATAATTATCTTTAATGTTATTATTAGATCTTACAAATGTATTTCTAACCAATGCTACAATACAGACATAGTAACCAGCATAATAAGGCTCTCCTCTTTGCACACAACAGGATGTGACTTTGATTCCTATATCATGTATAAATCATATTCTTGAGCCTTAGTCTCAGTTCCTTCGTGACAACCTGAAACAAATATAATCACTGTGGAGTCTGCTTAAACTGAGATCTGGAGGACCGCTGGATTTTCTTTGGCGAGATAGCTCAAATTCAAATAGAAGAAAAAAAAATCAGTGGGGATTGTTATTTTATTTTGGTTTGCTGCTGTTTTCAGATTATGTGTTCAGTTTAAGCAGACTCCACATAATAGTATCGTCGGTGGCCTAGTGGTTAGGCTCTCAGACTCGCAACCGTAAGGTCGTGGGTTCGAATCCCGTCAAGGGCCCGACGTTGTGTCCTTGGGAAAGGCACTTTACACGAATTTTCCTCACTTCACCCAGGTGGGAATGGGTACCCGGCTATAGACAGCGAAAGATCTTGTCAGTTTGTTAGTGTTTGAGCGCTTAATCGGCTGCTTGCACTGTATGCTTCCCGGGAAGCTGAGAATGTTTCGGAGTGTTCTATGGTCTGCTGGGGTAATAATATAGTGTAAAGCGCATAGAGCTTGCTGTTGAGCGGGGATATGCGCTATACAAATGCTATCTATTATTATTATTATTAATAGTATAATATTAAGACGACTTTTAACTTTGTACAGTTAATATAATTTCTAAAGGAGAGACAAAGGCCCTTTATAAAAAAAAAACTAAAACCTAAAGACACAATGATGAGCAGTGACTGGTTGTTTGTTTTAGAGTTGTAGTATTATATACAGTTGGGCACTGATAACTCAAACACATTGGGGACCTACAAAAGTGTCTGACACATTCATAATTCCGGTTGACCAATAACAAAAAGTTCAAAAGATATCAGTTGAGGAATGGCAAATTGTATGAGCAATCTGTGATTTCCGGTTTTCCGTATTCGTGTCATCTGTGCCCGACAAGTAAAACATATCATGTAGAGATTGTGCAGTACTGGTGTCTGTGGTGTAGCAGTTAGGTGCTGCGCTGTCACACACAAGAGACCTGAGTTCGATTCCCGAGTGGGGACAACATTTTTATTTCGGTCTTTCTGCTGGGATGTATCTCTATCAAGTAGGCCCTATTTTCCCCTCGACTGTAAAAAAAAAAAGAAGATTTTTGTCATACATGTATTGGTAAATAATTGGTGAAGGGTGCCACTGGTAGGTCCTTTTCTTTCCCTTTGTTGGTTGTAATTTCTATGCTAGCTAAAGATGAAAGAATTATACAAATCTATTAATAACTATGCATGAAATATTCACAACTGGTCTACATAAGTACTTGTGTACACTTTTGACGTTAGCACCTGTGGCATAACAGTCGAATGCTTCGTCATTGCACGCAGAAGACATGAGTTTGATTCCTCTGGGTGGCGAATATTTATTGAGTATCTTCTTTGCGCTGGGACATTGTATCCCTCTTGGCATGGGTTGGCCCTGAGAGGCAAGGCCAAAGCAACCCACCTCTTAAATGATCTAAATTGTGTCAATGGGGGCAGAAAACATCTATGATACTGTGATTAAAAAAAAATCTCTTTTGACTTTGACTATGTTGATTGTGGGCTATTGCATGATTAACCCTATCCATACATTGTGTTTCACTATCGTATCCATACGACGTGGGGAACTCTGTGCCACCATTTTCGAAGAGGAAATTTACTCGTTAATCCGATCCGTACACTTTGCATAGCATTCTGTCAAAATAATATTTTGAGAAATACTGAAAGTTTCAAATAGATTTTCGCTCTAGAAGTATTCTAAAATGTGAAGAATACAACCCTGTGGGTACAAAGTGACCCCAGGGTGTATGGACAGGGATAAATAAATGAGGATCATAATCGCAAAAGTTTTAAAAATATCAGATACAAACAGTAACAGTGAGTAACACTAACACTTCCTTATGGAGAAGATATACCCTTCGTAAAGTATGCATTACATTACAGTGCAGCCTCTCTATAGAGAGATGTCGTTATAGAGAGGCAACCAAAACTTAATAATATATACGGAAAAAATTGGGATCTGGGTACCATGTCGCTATACAGAGGATGTCATTATATCGAAGGTCGTTATAGACAGGCTGCACTGTACAATAATAATGCAGCAAGGATTTAGACAAACACACAGATGCAGATAAAACATGGGACGAAAGAAAAGCATGTAACTTCACCATTGACAATATCATTGCTATCATTTCACTTCATCCTCATCAATAACAACTACATGTACATCAACAGCAATTTAAGAACATTTGACCTGAACTTTGCTGAAAGGGAGGTCAAAGTCACTGGGACATAAAAACTTCTGATTTAAGTGCAAAAAATCATCCTTTCAGTTTCTTTCCATTTTTCAATGTTAAAAACAAGGGAAAAAACTGCACATGTGGAAATGTTGTCAGTGTTTATACACTTGTAAAACAAATGGCATACTTTAATCTAACCTGAATAGGTTTTGTACTGTATCACAAAAGCCCAGACATTTTGCCTACCCACTTAAAGAGACATCACAACATTGTTTCGGAGCCTGGGCTCACTAACCACAAAACCACTGGAATTCCCAAATAATACAAATTATTGTCAAACAAATGCTGAACACAGAAAAGGAAAAGAAAGCCCCATAACCACAACAGTTGATGCCATTCATTCCATCACTCCAACGAAAACATTTCTGCTCGCTTAATGCTGCTCTGTCTCTTTCATACTGTCGAGCACAATGTCTAACAAGTCAGCAGGCAAATCCATTGTTATGCCGTGCTGTTCACCTTTAGGTTGCGACCCTCGAAGTCTGCGACTTTTGCTGATGAACATATGCTGACTATTTGGCTTTAGCTGCTGTTGGTGTCCATCACGACAGAAGTGCGATGACCCACCCATTGCCTGGGGGAGAGGATTTTCTTGCCCATAGCTCTGGATTGAATAGCTTTCAGAGCAAGTTGTCAACGTTGTCCCAACATTGTCTTGAACAGGCAAAGTTTCAGTGGGTGTGGGATTATTTGAAGAGGCGGAAATTTCAGTATGTTGAGGATGTGTGTTGCTTGAGACACCATTGTGGATCATGAATGAGGAAATGATACCTGCTGAAGGTGTCTGCTCACTGACGGTGCTGGACTGTCCAGGAATCCATGTAATGCTGGACACGAAGTTCAAGGGAGCCCCACTTGACGATACAAGTTGAGCTTCTGTATCTGAGCTTGTCACTGGCCAATCACTGGTCTCTGATTGTGAAATGTGTGACAAGTTTGTGTTCTCTTGAGGTTGAGAGGAAGTATTATCAAAATTGATAAATGAAAGAGGGTCAAAAGTATTTGAATTATAAGATGTGAAATTGGCACCCAGGTCCTGATGTCCTTGTGAGGTTCCTCCAGTGTACTTTGGGGTGCCACTGTACTTAGAGTTAAAAGAAGAACTTGATGTGGTTGGAAAAGATGTTGGGAATGTATTCTCATCATTGAAGGCACCGAGGAGATCATCAATTGATACAGCATTTCCCAATTCCTCTATGTCTTTTTGGCTGAGGTACGGCATTGAAATATCAGTGTCCAGTGATGGTGTACTCTGACTTGGGTAAATAGCCTTGTCCATGGATGGTGATGTGGTAGGGTGCAACGTTGATGTAGTTGAGTCAAGGGAGGGAACCAATGATGTCGATGGAGTAGGGTGAAAGGTCGATGGAGTAGGGTCAAATGTGGAAATCACTTTATCAGAACTGGGTGCAGTTGAGACTGACGGGAAAGACAAGTTACTCTGTATTGAAGCCGTTACTTGTAAAGACTGTGAAGAGATGTCGCTACAGTCGGGTAAACTGCCGAAGATGCACAAATTGTCTTTCAGAATGTCAAAATTAGAGTAAGAGTCATCGATATTAGCAGGATTCCCTGCTCCCTCAGCTTGGGGTGAAGTGTAAGAAAAAGAGTCCCCACTCATGCTCTCCACTAAGCTGCCTAATGGGACGCCTGAATGTGCTATAGCTGAAGTAACCGGAACATCAACTCCCAATACACTCTGAAAAGACTGCGCACTATCCTCTGTGGCTTTTGAATCAAGGGTTGTGGGAAGATCAGACCAGACAAGATTCATACTGGAGACAGAAGTCTGACTCTCTGAGCTCAACAACCTGTCACTTGCATCTCTGGTCTCAAATGATATACTTGAACTCTGAACACTTGACCCTGAAGTCACGGCTGAGGAACCCATGGAGACATCCACATTTTCGGAAGGTGGCGAATCAAGGAGAAAGTCCATTAAGCCAATATCTTTGGAGATAAAATTTTCAACTGATTGATCAACTTGTAAAGTGGTAATGTCCCCTAGTCCATTGTTGTCTGGTGACTTTGAAGCAGAGGAACTTGAACTTTGTTGTGGTAGATCTGACCCTGACGTTTGCTCTTCTACAGGCTTATAGATGTAAATGCTATCTTTTGTTGTGGCAATGGGTGGAGTTATCGCATCATATTTTCTGCGTTTTTGAATCATACCATCGTAAGACAACCCATGCACTCTTTTCTGATGTTCTGGGCCACAACCTGCTGGGTAGGTTGGTGTCTCTTCATTTGGGCTAACTGGAAACATTATACTGGAGTTTTCAACGAGATCTGGTAGCCTTGACAAAACTTCTGTTTTTCGTTTTCCCATGTTTTTTTTCTGTTTCATTATATCTACGTGAGCAAGTGTTTTTGACGTGGTTGGATTCAGCGTGTCATCTTGCATGAAGCCCAAACTTCTCATTCTCTCGTATGACTTCCTGTCTCGAGATAGAACTCTTTCCACCTCTTCCTCGCTGTAACAGAAAATAGTTTAATTTTGAGCAATATAGTTATTGACATGTATAAATTATTTCCTTTTCCTCCCTTTCCCTTTCACTAGCCATTCAAATGACTTATTTGTGTCAGGTCAAACTTAACATGTGCCAAATCATTCCAAGGAAGAAAATGAATAGCCCTCTCATTTCATCCTCGTGAGTTTTGAAAAGAAAAAATATGTTTAGATATAGACAGAGCTGATGCTATTCTTATTGTGTTATTATTGCTTAAGACAGTGGAAAAGGTCTAGTGATAAGAGGAGACTCATTAAATGTACATGTGTAGCTTCCAGGAACTAGATGTTGTATACAACCTTATAACTTTCAGAACATTCATGACATTAACAAACTTTTAGACCTTTTTAATTTCCAAGAAATTCATAAGATATTCCGTATTTCAACCTCTAACTACGGCATATTGAAAGAATCAGAAACTTCATTTGATGCCCACTTAGGATTAGAGTGACATTCAAAGACATATTAGTGGGGTAAGCCGATTCAACTCTCACTAACCTTAAGTTTTCCAAAAAGGCAGTGGGGGTAAACTTTGAAAACTATTCTCATCAGATGAACCATTAAATTGTAATAGTCCCACTAATTTTTCTCCTTCAAAAGGAAATTAGTTTGACATAAGTATTATATATATTATCAGTTATCAGATGATAGTGGTTATAACACAAAGCATTGATTTCCCACTAAATAAGTACATGTACCATTAGTGAACCTCTATGCCTGTAATAAATGTATGTGACGCTTAACTTTTTACAAAAAATGAAATAACGAATCAGCTTCTTTTGAAATGCATTACATTTAATAAGTTTTTGAAAATAAAGTTTTTAAAATCAAACAATGATGTTTAAAGTAAAAATTCATACATCTGAAGAGAAGCCATGAATAGATCTAAGCTGATAAGACAATAGCAAGTCTCTCAATTTTAGCTTGATCAAGAAGTGAAAACGCTGTTGTACTCAGCACATAATTAATAATAATAATAATAATAAGGGAGTGCTTATTTAGGCCACATATGGCCTAAATAAGGTAAGGGAGGGGGGTTTAGCTTATTTGGGCCTCAGTGTGGCCTAAATAAGGTAAGGGAGGGGGGTTTAGCTTATTTAGGCCACACATGCTCAAACTACCGGGGGACACCCTTTTCAGGCAACTGAGTTCGTTCCACTTTCATAATGGTGCACCCTTCTCATTTAGTACAGTTTTGTCTCAGTGTACAACTTATATATATATATATATATATATATATATATATATATCATAATGATATTGTAAGAACAAAGCATGATACGCAAAATTTTGCTCAACCCCAAAAGTTTGAATGAGGGCCAGATTTTTCCTTCATGGAGGGGCAAAATCTAGGCTACCATTTTGGCACACTTTGGTCAAGTGAAAAGGTCAAATCCTCCGAATGGACTTCCGGGTCAAATTTGGGGTATAAAAAGTGTGTACACAACGTGGCTGAGTCAAAGTTACACTATCTTTGGCTGGGTGGCACTCTCTCGTACTGTCTCGTAGTAGTACATCCCTCGTACAGTCTCGTAGTAGTACATGTAGATCTAGTAGTAGTAGTAGCAAAGATCGTGTAGAGAATCTTTGGTAGTAGATTCTATCTAGTAGGCAGTTTAGTGAACGTGCACGCGGCAGGGCGAATCGGCCTCGATAAGCCCGTAGACCTTTGTGATCGGCCACGAAGCCTCGTGTTTTGATGGGTCTAAACAACTTAGTGTTAATCGCACTGCCACATCCGACAGGCCTACATCTTTTTAAAAGGAAAAGAAAGGTCATCAAAATGGTTGAATTTGCGTGAAAATCGATTCGGTAGAACTGGAACTATTAAAATTTGCTTCTGAAAACTAACAAGTTACAAGGCCATTTTTAAAACTCGATGAAATAAAAACTACTGGCTGTGTTATTCTGTATAAGTTATGAAACTTCAGGACGTATTATTATTTTCCAACATCCTTTGACGCCTTAGCTGTAGAGGTTAAAGTTTTCACAACACTAATAGATCTAGTAATAGGGCTTTCCCCAAAAAAAATAATAAATGAATGCATAGATCTACAAAAGCCAAACCACCGAATCGACTGGTCAGCGACCCGGGCACCCCATTCTCCCCTGAACACTGTGATAACGTGTTGCTTCGGTATAATTATTCAACTATTAATACGTGCGACTATGGCAATTGGGATGTACTGACTGATAAAGGGATTCACAGTTTTGTTTTTATTTTACCATATATTTGACTTTAATAGTGCAGATGATAGCTAGATCTAGATTCCCTGTCTAGAATCAGTAGTAGCAGGCCTATTCTAGAAGCAGCCAGAGAGCCTACAACTGCTAGATCTAGATCTAACTCATTGCTATGCCTTTGGGCTTTGGAATTGAAATAAAACGAATTGTACAGTTCTAGTTAATTTTAGATTCAACAACTATCTGTATTTCTAGAGTTAATAATAACAAATCTCACCATAACAATCACTTTTACTATTATTAGAATAATTAGATCCAACTTTTTTTTCTAAAATCTGTTTTGCGCAAACTTAAGACTTTCTCTACTAATCTACTTGTAGAGCACAGAATTTGCATTGTAAGCCTCTGCTCAGTCTTTTACTTTTAAGTATATATATAATACATAATAAAATACGTTTAGATCTAGATCTATATAATCATTTTATTTTATTTTCTGGATATTTTTAAAACTCTTTTTTTTTTAACATGTCATAAAGTCAAATTGTGCCTTTTCTTTGATAAGAATAGCATTAACAGTGGACTTTTTAGACAGTGAGTCTCTGATTCAATTTTTTTTTAAAATATGCTAATCAATGAAAATTGCAAATTGATAATAGTATAGTCCTGCAGAGGATAGGTGGACTCCGGGGTCTGCATAGCGGAATACTAGGTTTTAGGGTGTGAATACCGGAGTCACCGTAGTGAAATAAGGTTTGGTTTAAGTAAGGATTGGTGGACCCCGGGGTCAACGTAGTGATAAATAAGCAGGTTTAAGGTGGACCCCGGGGCTCGGGGTCTATCTAGCAAAATACTAGGTTTTAGGACAGGTGGACCCCGGGGTCACCGTAGTGAAATAATTAGATTCTCTAGGTTTCTTTAAAGATCGTTGGACCCCGGGGTCATCGTAGTGAAATAAGTAGGTTTAATTTTAAAAGGATTGGTGGACCCCGGAGACACCATAGCCGTAGAAGAATAAGAAGGTTTAATTAAGGATTGGTGGACCCCCGGGACACCGTGATTAAACCTACTTATTTTACTACGGTGACTGCATGGTCCACCTATTCTAAAACCTAACTAGTATTTCGTTAGGTAGACCCTGGGGTCCACCTTAAACCTACCTATTTCACTACGTTGACTCTAGGGTCCACCAATCTTTAAAATTAAACCTAGATCTACGTGTACTTATTTCACTACGTTGACCCGGGGTCCACCAATCCTTATTAAACCTAGATCTACTTATAATTTCACTACGTTGACCACGGGCTCCGCCAGTCCTATTATAAAATAGACTGAGATCTACTTATTTCACTATGTTGACGCCGGGGTCCACCGATCCTTAGTTAAACCTAGATCTACTTATTTCACTCCGCTGACTCCGGGGTCCACATCCTAAAACAGCATTTTGTTAGGTAGACCCCGGGGTCCACCTATCCTTTTGGGGCTAGATAGACCCCGTGGTCCGCCTATCCACTTCCTTGATAATAACTGAAAAACATGCCAGTTGTCATGAATAGTGAAGAAAAATGTGAAAAAAGATAATAAGGTAGACTATAATTTGTCCAAAAAATTGCAAGTGCAAGTGAAGATCATAAGATAATTTTGTTATTTTCTGGTCATCTTTTCACGGTTTATAAAATGTTCCAGTGGGCCTACTACTAGATCTATGTCTCTGAAGAACATTTTACTTGACTTTATTAGCTTTTTTCATGTACTTGAAAGCATAGAATATAATAGTTTCACACAGATGTATGCACAATACCTTGAAAAAGAAAGATAAGGTCATTGTTGTTGTTGTTTTTTAACCCAATCCGTTTTATGTTGAGAAAAGCGCTAAAAAGTTGACAATTTTAAAGAATGCCCATAATATTAGGAATCCGAAATTACTACCTTGATCTAGTTTGCTTACTCTTTAATAACCATGAGCTGTTAAGAAAAAAAGAGAATGATATAGGATTTGTCTAAATATGACCATTAGTATTAGCATTATAAAGATATTGCCCATTTTGTCCAATTAAATCCTTGCAGGTAAAATCACCATGTACTGCACCTCAATAAGCACAAAAAGAATATTTCTGTGAATTTGTATAAAGGTGCTTTGTAGTTGAGTTCTATGTAAAATTCTCAACAAAATAATGTACATTTGGACCGTACAACTGAGATAGACACTCATGTACACAATAACATTCACACATTACACACCTACACACATACAAACACACTATTGCATTTACTCTGTCTCTCTAGATCTCTCTCTCTCTCACCACAATCACACACAAAACAAACACATACTCACACACACAGACACACAACTCTTACCCTTGGTCCACTTATCATTTAGTATCATCCTCTATTTTGAAATAATCCACCGCACTAAATAAAAAGATCAGTAGAATTAGAATCTCGACCTTCCGAATCCATGGTTAGTTCAAGAAACCTACCATATGATGTGGCCTAAATAAGATAAGGGAGGGGGGTTTAGCTTATTTGGGCCTCAGTGTGGCCTAAATAAGGTAAGGGAGGGGGGTTTAGCTTATTTAGGCCACAGTGTGGCCTAAATAAGGTCACCCTAATAATAAATAGCATTTGTATAGCGCATTACCATGCTCTGCAGCAAGCTCTATGCGCTTTACACTATATTATTACCCCAGCAGACAATAGAACGATCAGAAACATTCTCAGCTTCCCGGGAAGCATACAGTGCGAGCAGCTGATTAAGCACTCAAACACTAGCAAACTGACAAGATCTTTCACTGTCTAAAGCTGGGTACCCATTCTCACCTGAGCGAAGTGGGGAAAATTCATGTAGGCCTAAAGTGCCTTTCTCAAGGACACAACGTCGAGTCCCTGAAGGGATTCGAACCCATGACCTTATGGTTGCGAGTCTGAGAGCCTAACCACTAGGCCATCGACGATGACAATTTGCTTTGAGCTTCTTTTGCTTTGCAAAAAGTTGGTTCCTTGAGTGTATCTCTTTCCAGAAATATTGATACGCGCACAGAAAAAGTCATCTGTTTATGCACAACTCTCTAAATTTATTCTCTTAAAGAGTTAAAGTAGATAAGAAATGACTGGAAAACTTACCAGACAAGGTAGTTCGCACAGTTGATGAACTGAGGATTTTTTTGAGAGTCATAGACAATAGTCATCATTGTGAACATCCAGACCCATCCTCCATCTCGGGTCAAGTACCGATAGTAGCCTGACTCTGCCTTGCCTTGGGTGTACACTGTAATAAATTTATATTACAAACATTAAAACACAAACTTTTGTAGGAACAAGCCAAAGATATGGATGTCCACTGTAACAACTTGTATCACAACACGGTGAAATCAGATGCTTATCATTTTCTGGGCATAGGCCTACGGAGGTAGGAGTATCATTTTAAAGCTTATAAATTTGCCTTTGTTTTGATGAAAAAATATCCATCTACCTTGAATAGAAGTCGAGAAATTTGCAATTGAATAAAATAAGTGTAATTTGATTTCATAGGTAACATTTGCGAGAAAATGGCTGCCAAAGTTCGGGAACTTCCAAAGCTTGAGTGTCTTCGGAAAGTGCAATTTTACATTTTTTGTGCCTTTGATCAACGTTTTACAGCAAAATCCACCCAGAAATGTTTTTTTTAATTGATATAATATAAATGATGTTGAGCCAACCCCCACCCCCCAAAAAAAATAAAAAATAAAAATAAAGACATTTTTCCCAACAGGCTGAAAAATGCTGGTTTCTTCGATTTCATTATCTTAACAAGCACCTGATCACCACAATGCCACACAAATATAAATGAAAAAAGTAAAACGGACAAGATATGAGAGCATACTGAAATAAACTAGAGTTTTTACACTAAATATAATATATAATATTATCATATCTAAGTGAATTCTCACAAATTTGATTGCACTGTAACAAACCAGGGCAAATACAACAAAGTTATAAAGAGCTAGCAAAATGAATACTAACGAATTAAAGTCTCCACATTAATAAATGAGAGTAAGAAAAACAATCAAGGCAGTGAAATGAATAATTGTTGAATAAAAACGAACTTTAACAAATTTGAGAATGCATTGTCATTCATTAACAGATTAAAGAGTTTATTTAACAAAACGAAAAAAAAAACTCCAGAGCGTGAACAGTAACAAATATGAATACATGCTAAAAAAATTGGAGTGAACACTGTGAAGAAAAAAATGTGCCATACCAAGAACAAGATTCTACACTCCCAAGTTATGAAACAAAGTCTCCATTAAGGCACTACAAGTAATAAGAACAACAGAAAAGAAAAGGCAAAGGAATCCATGCAGGGTTTCTGCAATAATTCATGTGAATACAGAAAGCTAATTCAGAGAAAAAAAAAACCCTTTTGCTCACCATCTGTGAAATGACTAATGGACACGATTGTATGAACAGCTAAAGATGCTGTCAGTTTGTTAGCGTTTGGGCACTTAACAGGCCGCTTGTACTGAATGCTTCCGGGGAAGCTGAGACAGTTTTCTGTTCCCATTCTAAGGTCTGCTGGGGTAATCATGTTTGTAAAACGTATACAGCATGCTGTAGAGCATGGGTATGCGCCATATAAATGTAATTATTATTATCATTATAACTCTTAAAACCCCATTGGACGCTGCGAGCCTCCAGCAGTAATAATCATCTTCCCCATCCGATGCTGGGAGTGTCTGATACTAGTGACAGCTGTCTCATTTCATTTTTAGCGTTAGTTTTTGCTTGCTTTTTGGAACTATTCCCGATTCAATTTTTTTAGTAATGACCAAGTTGTTTCCGCCATTTAGAAGTTGGAGGCAAGCTTTCGGGGTTATAATGAGACACAGAGCGCCAGGTTTAGGTGACTGTAGAAAAAAACTTATGGAAACAATGGAAAAAAACTCTGGGTTTAAAGAGTTTAGATTCCCCTATTGGCATGTGGGTGGTTGGAGGGTGCCAATGGTATACTCCGGTTCTTTTCATTCCTTCTGTTATTCCGGTATGCTTTTCTTGCTTTTATTCTAGCATTTAATGGCCATTATCATGTCAATGTACTTCTTTACTCAAACTGAAGCTACACTCTTCCCAATGATTAATCTGAATGTACAAACACAAACATTAGCATTCCTCCAAAGCATTTTCATTGAAAACCAGCATCTTCTTTCCTAATACTTTTGAAATGACTGAGAGAACTGACTCATAACTACCAGCATTTGTGGAGTAATGGTAGGCTTTGCCTTGTGGGCAAAGGGTGGAACCAAATTCTTAAAGGAAGTTTTTATCCAGTTTCTTCTTCCTTCTACAGGCACGATCGAAGTAGCCCATCCCACAAACTAAACCAATATGAATTGTGCTGATTTCCAACAGGTCAGTCGTTTCTCACTTACAGTGATTGGCACTTGATTTACAGGTGAGCAGATCACATGGGTTCTTGTACATGTGGGCCCTCTTGCCAATCAAGTCAGTCGGAGCATAGCCGATGAGGAACGATACTCTGGAGAAAGATTATAAAGGTGCAGTGTGGAAAAAATGTCTTGAAATTATGAAATAACTCAGAGCTGAGATGAACGAAAAAAGAAGAAAAAAAAAGAAGAAGAAAGAAGAAGAAGAAGAAGAAGAAGAAGAAGAAGAAGAAGAAGAACCAAATTTCTATTTCTACAGACCAAGCAGTTAGTTTACAAGGACAAAATCCTGGAGGGTCTTGCATACATCGTGCACATCATTTCTTTTGGTGCAATACAGTATGCCTGCATGGTGTGAAGACAGGCACTGGAGGTATATCAGTCAAGACATTTTGGCTCATTGAACTTAGGAGAAAACATACCAAACAAAACTCTTGAACATTTCAATGCTTAAGTAAAAAGAATTTTGAGAAGTATAAGTAGATAAACAGCCTTCAAAGATAATCTGAGGCTGCCTCTAATTGCAAATAGAATTTACACTCCAGTGAAGGCAATCCTGTAGCGTTACATACATTGTAATAACACCATTCATACTGTAGGCTGTTGAGTGTAACAATATAAATTGCTGTTTTCAAAACTAAATTGTAACCATGAATTGTATAACTTAACCATAAAATAAATCCAAGCTCAGCTGTAACTGTTGTAAAAACTCATATGACTTTCTGTAGTTGTGAGTGCTGTTAAACTCTTATTAAACTTAAAAAAACCCAGGAGGCTTCTAAATGAAAGCTATCTCAGGTCTGGCTGAAGAGTACTTCCGTTGTAGTTTTTAAAATTGTCGTGATGCAATCTTGATCACGCAAGAGGCTGGCTGCTTCGACTCAATCTATCATCCCATCATAGAATATCCGATCCAAGTGGATTTTTATCCAGTGTACCAAAGTCAAACTGTGTGAGATATTTTTCACTAGGGGTTTTTTAAAACCCTTCTCATGTTTAACTTTCCTATTTTTTATTGTACAGTTAATGCACATTAAGCATCTCACTGAGATAAAAATAGGCAATATAAATGCAAGGCAACAAGTGTAACTGACTATTACACTGCAGAGACTGGTCAAGGTTAAAGGGAAAAGTGGAGAAGCAAGACTAGAAATCTCCAATCACATTGCGAGCGCAGGTGAAATCTTGAACTAACTTTTACTTTCTTGGTTTTGAGGAAGATCTAAAACCCTTTAAAAGCACAATCAATATCAGTTTCAAATGGTAGTTTCTGTATACAGAACATGGACATTAATGTAATAATTTGAGACTCAAAGCAAAGATTTACCTACAGCCTTAACAACTGTGACAAAAGCTCCCAAAAGTTGGAAGAATGAAGTTTGTAGAAAAAAAAATAGCACTCAGCTTACTAAATCTGTGGCACTGTAAAGTGATGAAAGTCAACTCTTCATGACTTAATGTCTTGTCTCAATATATTTATGTCCCTTGTCACTCTGCCATATTCATGTCGGTGGGCGTGACATGGGTTAGGTCTATACCTAAACTAGTATTTTACTTTCAGCTTGTTATTGTTGTTTAGTTTTACATGCAGAAGATGCGAGTTCTTTTTGCTTGTGGGGTATTCTATTTTGTCAATGTTCTCCCCCTCTCTATCTTTCTGCTGGGACTCAATAGCCTATCCTACTCAGCAAGGGTTGGTTGGCCCTGAGTGAACGGTATGCAGGGTTGAAACAGCTTGCTTCAAAAATTATTTCAGTTGAGATATAATACAACATTTATTATCACAGTCATTGTGGGGAGTGAGAACTTAATAATGCACATGAAATGTACGCAACGTTTATGTAGTGGAAGACGTAGAGTCATGAACTAAGATACAGCCGGAAACCAAACATTTTTTCAGATTTTTATTTTAAAACTTGAATAGGCTTGTGAATTTCATACCTTTCCTAGCAGTGTTTCTTAAGCTTTTTCTGTGAAATAACTCCCTCGACACTCATGACACGAGCAGAGACAGAAAAGTATAACGAACTAACAACATAGCAAAGTGTTTTAAAAATCTAATACTGCTAGTCGGTGTTGGATTTCTGCACAAATAACAGGCAAAGAAGAGACAATTTAGTGGACAAAAGTCACAGCATGCTATCTAAAAGCTATTTTTCTACTTGCTGCATTTTTTTTTTTTTGGAATCCATGCAAGGTTTCTGAAATGCAACGGCTTGCTAGATGAAGAAAAAATATCTTATTTCAAAGGCTTTCATTCTTCAACACAAAGATGTTGCAGCAAAAAATGATAAAGACAGATTTGTTTGTGCGCTGGCTTCACTCAAAATATAAACAAGTTATGAAGGTCTGACATTGATGCTTTCTGAGCAAGTGCTTATCTGGTGGCCAGCCTGACTAGAAAGGTTTGACCTATGACAGCAGACCCCCCCCCCCCCCCCCCTCCACCCACAAGACTGTTTGCTGACGTGAGGTGTAAAATGTTAATATAACATTGACAATATTTTCTAAAGCCCAGAAAACTGAAATTCGGGTTAATAAAAGCTATAAAGCATAATTGTTGCTAATGAGACTTATGATGGACCTCCCCTCTGACTAATTAGTAAACGTTTTGAAAAACTAGTGGTTCTCTGTGAAACATGATGCACATATCTAATTCACTTTTGAAGAAGCACAGATAGGCTCTCTGAATTTCCACTATGTCACCCAAAGGTAATTTTTAAGTCAAGAATGAAAGCAACTGAACTCAAGAACATTTCAAGATGCCATTACTGAAGAGTAAGGGAACTTTGGCTGCACAAGTAACAGAAACTTTAACGTAAAGGGAATAAAGTAAAAGTAGCCTGAAAAGTAACTGAAAAGGTAGCATGAATAAATATCACAATAAAAAGTAACTCGATTCGCCTAATTGTTTATAACATACGAAATCAGCAAAAAAATGTCTAGCCACACAGATGTTTGCAAGTTATGGTAATTTTCTACCTGACAAAATAAGACAATGGAATTAATAATACCATATTGAATGCTCTTCATCTCTATATTTTCCATTTCAGAAACATTTACCACATCATTTCCTTCTCCAAAATATGTAGGACAATAATTGTGTTCCTTTTTCTTTTAACGTGTTTTTCTCAGCTTTGTACGCTGCGCATTTCATTACCCAAAATATACTTTACTTTGTCAAATATGGAGATATTGTAAAGATTTAAATCGGGTCATAAAGGAAAGTGAAAGGGATTTCATTTGGCAGCATCAATTTAGAATGAAAAAATGAAAATTTCCCCAGTCCCCAACACACTTTTCTTCTACGTAAGTATAGCTGAAGTGCAGGTCCATAGTGCAACGCCACATGCTACCGTCCATCCTGATCTCCAGAATCGAATTTGTTCGAACAGGACGGCACAACACAGTGGCTCCTTTCACCTCGATTATTCCACTGGCTTTGTTCCTGCGCAGGCGAAGTTTTAAATTCCACTGAAAGAGCTAAAGTGGGTGCGGGTGAGGGAAAAAAAGAGGAAGAAGAAAAAGATGATGATAATGATAATAATAATAATGACTGCAATAGGAAACATAATACATTTTAATGATAATAATATTAATAATAATAATAATAATGATAATAATAATAATATTAATAATAATAATAATAACAATAATAATAATAATAATGTAAATTAGATGAAAGATATTGATAATGTTTATGATTATAATGATAGTAGGCCTAACAATAAGAAGAAGCAACAGAACATGTGGACAAAGAAAGGCAACAATAACAACAAAAGCAACATCTGTACATGTACACCAGCAGCAACATCCACAACTACTTTATATTATATGTATATGATTTTGCTTCTTAATACACTGCATCATTATTAGGACTTCATACCATTATGTAGGGGGTTGGCGGGTGCTCTGGAGTGGTAGGCTCTTTCTTTCCTATTAAATATCTGTCGTCTTTATCTCTCCTTCTTTTTTGTGCATGACTCTCTTGTAACACCTTTAATCTTTGGCATTGATGTGACCTCAATATGTTGCAAATGCCATTAAAAGCTTTTTAAAAAAAATACAATTATAACTATTTCACATTAGACAACATAATTATTACTATTTCATATTATACAACATCATTATTACTACTTCATATTATACAATGAAATTAGTACTTCTTAATACAGTGGAATCCTGTTATAACGAGAGGGAGGGGACCGCTACAAAATGTCCGTTATAGCAGGATTCTCGTTGTAAGGGATCCAGTAATAAATTCAAAGGAAATAATAAAGTAGGCCTAATCTGTGAGTTTTGTGTTCTGTTTATTTCTTTTTGTTATCTCCTCTGATCATCGCCTTGTTCAATATGACTTCTAGGTCTTACTTGATCAAAAATTGAATCAGGTTTCTTCCTCTAGCATAAGCGATGTTGACAGCTTGGCGTTGGCTATCAGAACGAAAGTTCTCTAGGCTAACTCGCCCGCTGTGTTTTCCCCAACCCCACCACACCCGGTGGTGCGTTCCCGCATCTGCTTGCTCACGTCACACATTCGCTCCATGATCCATCACAGCACTGTGACCTCTCGGAGAAGTGAGAGGCATGATAGGCCTAGATAATCTAGACTAGGCTGGCCTATCACTATCAGGCAATGCGTTCTGCTTCACAACAGCTTGTCTGCGCGTGCCACACCCTCCCTACTCATTCACTCTGGCCTTCATCGTTGGCACACATGGGCTCTCCCATTCTTTGTTTCGCTTGATAACCAACAAGTTTCTCAACTCTGAAAAGAACTGTGTGAAAGGCATAAACGTTCTGGACAAAGACATTTCCGATCATTATCTTCTTATTGTTGACTGATCATTATCTTCTTATTGTTGACTTGAACATCAAAAGACCAAGGAAAGAAATAAAAACAGTTAATTCCCGAAATCTGAACGATATAAATTTACACCAGTTTCAATGTGACTTTCGTGATGCTCTTGCTATTAGTTCCCCTTTTAATATAGAAACCCTCAATACCATCATGAGGAATATTTTAGATGATCATGCTCCAGTTAAAAAACGAAAATTATCTCATCGAGCTGTTGGTAGGTGGTTTAATTTAGAAATAAAGGCTGCAAAAAAAGAAAAAAGACAAGCGGAAAGAAAATGGAGAAAAACACGACTTGAAGTGCATAAGGGAATATTTATTACTATGAAGAATTCTGTTAGTAAAATGATTACCAAAGCCAAGCGTACTTTCTTTTTGTCAAAATTTGAAAATGTTAAAACTTGTAAGGAACTTTTTGATGTCTCTAGTGAACTGCTTGGCAACCAAAACAGAGCTGTATTACCCCCTGGCACCGATAGAGATCTTTGTAGTAGTTTTTCAGACTTTTTTTCTAAAAAAAAATCACCTCCATCAGACAAGAGCTCGATAAAATGTGCGCAATTGCCCCAAATTACCATCAGTTTAAAGGGTTAGTCATCGATTATTTTACTCCAGCAACGGAAGAAGAAATCAAAAAGATCATATTAGATAGTCCATCAAAAAGTTGCGCCTTAGACCCTATGCCCACCAGCCTTTTAAAAAAATGTTTGCATGAACTTCTTCCACATATCACCCAAATTGTAAATGATTCTCTCCTCACAGGCACAGTACCAAATTGCTTTAAGACAGCCCATATTAGACCCCTTTTGAAAAAATCTGGACTTGATGAAAAGGACTTAAAAAATTTTAGACCAGTTTCAAATCTTTCTTTCCTTTCCAAAATTCTTGAAAAAGTTGTATCTAATAGACTGTTACATCATATTAAAGCAAATAATCTTAGCGAAGTCTATCAGTCAGCATATAAGGCACACCATAGTACCGAGACAGCGTTACTTAGGGTCTGTACTGATATTTTAAAATATATTGATGAAAAAAAGGTATGTGTTCTTACTCTTTTGGACCTTTCGGCTGCATTCGATACCATTGATCATGGTATTTTACTCGAGAGATTAAATACTACTTTTGGCATAAAGGGTACTGTCCTGCGATGGTTTGAGTCATATTTTAAGGATCGAACACAAGCAGTTGTGGTTGGAAACACGTGTTCTAATAATGTTTTGCTTAGATGTGGTGTTCCTCAGGGGTCTGTTCTTGGACCTGTCTTGTTTACAATGTATACACAACCTATTGCTGATATTTTAAGACAATATGGCAGTGTAAGAAATTATTTAACTAAAGCAGCAGCCAAGACACTTGTAACAACACTCATTTTATCAAAGTTAGATTACTGTAATGTTATTTTGTCCGGTTTGACATCCGAAAAACTATCAAAGTTACAAGTACTTCAAAATCAAGCAGCAAAATTGATAATGAAACAAAAGAAATCAGCCCACGTAACACCAATTCTGAAAGAACTACACTGGCTGCCAATAAAAGAAAGGATTAAATACAAAACTGCCGTTCTCTGTTTTAAATGTATAAATGATAGTGCACCTTTTTATCTTAAAACATTCCTGGAATTATATAATCCACCTAGAGCCCTTAGATCAGCCTCTGACAATCTAATTCTTAAAACTCCAAAAGAAAACTACAAAACATACGGCGAGCGTTCCTTTTTGTTCTTTGGTCCCCAGGTATGGAACGAAATCCCATATAAAATAAGATCTGCCCCAACAATTTCCATTTTCAAAAATCAGCTGAAGCATTTTTTATTCACAAAAGCATACCTGTCATAATGATGTACTGTGATATATATGCATGTGTATGCCAGACTGTGAGACTGAAGAAATAGCGAGTGAGAATGAGAGAGAGAAAAAGAGAGAGATAGAGAGAGAAAAGAGAGAGAAAAGAGAGAGATAGCGAGAGAGGGAGAGAGAAAGAGAGAGAGAGATAGAGGGAGAGGGAGAGAGAGAGAGGGAGAGAGAGAGACAGACAGACAGAGAGAGAGAGAGAGAGAGAGAGAGAGAGAGAGAGAGAGAGAGAGAGAGAGAGAGAGAGAGAGTGGAAATGTTTTTCTATCTGTATAGAATTAATGTTTTAATGAATGTTTCTAGTTACTCACGTTTCAACTGTATTTTGACTGTTCGTGAATTTATATTGCATTGTATATTTTTAGTGAACACATTTTCAACCTCACTGCGAGACTGTTTTTCTGGTATAAAATTTTACACATATGCATTTATATTATATGTATAATACTTTGTTTTACGTACACATTTGTGTCGATTAATTTTTAAGATGTGATGTCTTTTTCATTGTAATGCGCATTGAGCATCTTTTAGGAAATGGAAATGCGCAGTATAAATGCTATTTATTATTATTAACTGGCGAGGTTTTCATGTATAAATGGCCTATGCGCTGTGCACAACAGCAATATTCTGGTATAACCGACTCACATTTTTGTCTGGTTGGGCTATAGCAGTATTTGATTTACAAAGATAAAGAAGGAAAAAAACCGAGGTTTTAGAATAATGTCTTTATAACAGACTTCTCGTTATTTCAGGACTCATTATAAGTGGACTCCACTGTATTATACAACATAATAATTACTATTTCACAACGCACAACATAAAATTATTTTAATTACTACTTCATATTACACAACATACTACTATTTCATATTGTATTACATCATCATTACTTACTGTACATCCCACATCCTTGTGGCGAGAGCCAGGCTTTTGGAAGCAATAGAGCATCGCAAGGTGGAATCGCCGGTTCACGAACCAAGGAGGAAGAGCTGCAGAGTTAGTTTCTGGGGACAACCACAAAAAATATATTATACAAAGAGAGAGAGGGTGAGAGGAGAGAAAGAGGAGAGAGAGAGAAAAAGGAGGGGAACGAGGAGAGAGATATATTGATAACGTAACTGTGAGCCTATTGATTTCTCCAAATTAGATCTTGCTTCACGAACATACATGACACTTTTCCTTTTCTGTCCTCGTCATTTTATGCAAGAAAAATATGAAATAATGCAAACTGAGCCCAAAAAATGTGAAATTATGTGATTCTGTTAATTTTAACAAAGAATGATAAGGGAAAATAATCAGAAATTATGCAAAAAAAGATCAAATTTGGTTAAATTATGCGGGGTGCATAAAACCACGGGGGCAGCCTTTTGCAGCATTTCAAATAATTGTTTGTACATGCATCTCCCTGGCCTTGATGAGTGTGAATGGGGCGTCCTTGAACTAGGATTGTTTAGGGAGTCTTTTAAGACGCTCGGCCTTCCTGGCTTGGTTCTGTCAGAGATGAACATTACACACGAAGGTCCAACCTCGTAAGTAATTTAACCGAGTAGAAAGGGGCATTAAACCCCCATGCGCATGCAAAAAGCGGGCACACACAAACACACGAGCATACATGATAGGCCTACACATACACACACCCACGCACACGAGTTAGGTGAACCCTTCAAGAGATACACTTGGCCTTTTCGCATCAAGTTCAGCAAAGCGTTCAGTAGCTGGTAGCTCAAATCCTCCCTGAAATGAGTGCCGAATACGAATCTTGGACGCTCAAGCAAATAAAATAAACATGGGTTTTTTACCTCTTTTACCATGAATGTTTGAGCCTTCATCCACACAGTTGAGGTAATAACAAAAAAAGAACCCACTTTTTCACATCGTGATTGGACTACTCCAACCTGTGTGTGATATTTATCACATTGACGGTGATACTCGACAAACACCCCCCACACCCCCATCCTGGTTGGAACTGAACTCACATTTCCTTACACAAGAACTAATTGTCTTCTTTCACTAACCTGCATGGAACTGTTCATCTCTTGTCTGTCTCAGGAGCTCCGGATAATCTTTGTCCAGGACGAAATCGGAGACTGCCTGCCCAAAGTAGAAAGCCTACAGACAGAGAGAGATGGATGATAAGAGCAATAATAACAGGAACTAAAATCATTTGTGACCGTTTCAGTATATTGGATGTATTATGAACCAAATTGCCTGTAAAAACATGTTGTAAACATGAATACAACTGGACAGTTCAGGGTTGGAGAATGTCCCCCTCCCCCCACAAACACACAAAAAAAAGAAAAGGAAAGAAAGAGAGAGAGAGAGAGAGAGAGAGAGAGAGAGAGAGAGAGAGAGACAGAGACAGAGACAGAGACAGAGAGAGAGAAAGAGAGAGAAGGAGAGAGAGAGAGAAAAAGAGTGATGGAGAGCAATAGCTTCTCACCTGTGAACGGCCAAGGAACTGGTCGACATTCTCAGAGACATAGATGATGGTAAGGTTTCGGTCCAGCATCATCAAAAACCCTCCGGTCGCCTCCAGCATCATCTCTCCTTCAAGTATATCAGGAGAAGTAAAATAGGACACCCCAACTTCTGCACAATCCTGTTCTGCCAGTGAAAGCGATTTGTCAACTGTTTCATCGTCTTCATCTCTCTCATCATCCTTGTCTTTTTCATCGTGATCATCTGTCAGATCGCTGTTGTTGTCACTTCCATATGAACTGTCCTTTGACCTTCTGATATTTGACCTCTTCAAGGGCTTCGAGTTATTTGGTATCCCCACACTCCCTTTGAGTGGGATGGAAGACCGACTTGACACTACACTAGTTCTGTTAATTTCAGGCTGTCCCAGGAACTCCAGCATACCACTCTCCAGCCCCTCCTTATATCGCTGCAGTCTTTCCTTCTTCACTTCAGAATCTTCCTCTTTTGAGAAAAACGTTGTCTCAATCTCCTCAACAACTTTTTCTGGCAAGCTGATTTTGTTTCGAGTCAGTCTGTTGTTAACTCCATTTAAATGTCCCCCCAGGATGCTCCCGTCATTATCAAGTAGCGTTGTATCAGGCTGGTGGAGGCAAGCAAAGTAAGGGTTAAAGGAGTTTTCTGGGCTGGAGTTGTCATGTGTAGACTCGAAGGTCAAGGCGTCTGAATCAGTACTACTCAGAGCTTCTGTCAGATCTGCTTCGTCTGAAAAAGTACAAAATTGGGATGGGGACAGGGGAGGGAAGAAAAAAAATAGCATGTAATTAACAGAATAGAGAACCAAATAACTATAGTACAGGGTTAGGTTGCGTCTGAAATGACAAAAACTTAAAACTGAAAAAGGCACAGAATTCAAGTTTGACAAAGCTGGTCTCTGAAAACTGACAAGTTTCTCTCTGGGAATAAATTTTAAAAAATTTGGTAGGCCTAGTGGTTGATGAACTAACAAAAAAGTATTAAGCAATCCAGAAAGTAAAATGTGAAAAGTCTTTTGAAAACAAAAAAGGGTCAGATGGTAAAACACACTATGTTCATTTACTACAAAACTGAGAAAAATGGAAAAAAAAGTATTCTCTGAAAACAAAAGTATGAACAAAATGCAATTCTATTATAGTATTATAGTAAATATTGAGGGATACAGTGCAGTTTGAAGGAAAAAAAATTCTGCTCACAATTCTTTAGATAAGATTATGGAGTGGAAGTGGCTTTCTGGAAATGCCCAAACTTGTCATGCAGTGTGTTGTGCAATGGAACACTTCATAAATTATATCATTAGAAGTGCTCAATGTTAAAAAATATATTAAGAAATGTATTTTTATAAGAAACTGGAATTTGTGAAGCTATTCATTTTAAGAGTTTGTAGACTCGTAACTGCATTTCTGTTCAGCCGTTAGTTGACTACTTATGTTTGACTTCCCATTCAACTGAGAATAACAACAAACCACCAGTCAAACAGAAATAACGCTTTGAGTCCACAAGCTTTGGAAATTGATACCCTCACGATTCCCATTTGTGATAACACCGGTGTTTCAATTACACTTTTCAACATGAAGGAGAGGAAGACAAAGGAAGAGGTGGACCGATAACATTGCGGAGTGGACAGGGAAATCATTCGCCCAAACTCAGGGGCTCGCAAAAAAACTTGAAGAAAAGTGGAGGCACCTGACAAGACTCTCTGACATATAACGCCCCTACGATCCTCATGGATTATGGGATCAGTGACAAGTGCACATGACATGTCCTATTTATGCAGTGCATTTTGTAGAGAACATGTGCAGCGACCAGTTTCTATATTGCTTCTACATGTATTTATGCAGTGTTTTTTCTATAGAACTGACCTGTGTCTTGCGCTTCCACGTGCATTTATACAGTGTTTTTTCTATACAACTGAGTGTCTAGCGCTTCTACATATATTAATGCAGTCTATTTACTATAATAGAACAGACCAATGTCAAGCACTGCTACATGTATTTATGCAGTATTTTTTCTATAGAACTGACCACTGTCTAGCGCTTCACGGAACTTGAGATAGGACAGCAGCAGTCTTAGGATAGACAATTTGTCCTGCTTCATGTCTTTGGCATTGGGAAGCAGCCGCGCCAGTTCTGCAAACATCTCAGAGTCAGAACCTCGGGTGTTGTTGCCAGCTGGGGCTTTTGTCAGGTGAGATCTGAAATAAAACGCCAAAGGAAGTGGGGGTTTTTTGTTTAGTTTTTGTAAGAGTTTTATGGTGAAATGGTATACATTTAACGCCCCTATTTATGCTATTAGGTTATTAAAGAGGCGGGATCTCCGAGTTAAACGTTCATCTCCGAAAGGACCGAGCTAAATGGGAAATTCATGTAGTAAAGTGCCTTTCCCAAGGACAAAACGTCGGGCCGAGCTCAGGCTCAAACCCCCGTGCCCCGATCTCACAATTGCGTGTCCGATAGCCTAACCACTAGGCCACTGACGCTACGAAAAATGGAGGAGAGGTAAGGACGATAGATGTTTGATTTGAAAGAAGGAGCAAACCACACCAAATCACCCGTCAGCCACCCACAGTCTTTGTTTTATTTTATTAGAGTTTTTACGGCGCTCGCAACTGCATAAGGTCTTATGAGCGCCAAGGGGTGGATATCAACAGAGAAGTCCTTACAGGGAATCAGACTTACTCTGCTCACCTCTCTAGTTTCAACAACACAAAGTCTGCTTCGACCAATGATGGCTTCGACTATCAAGGCACCCGGAAATAGCGGGTCACGAGAGTGTGACAAACATACACAAGAAATAGAGGAAAATGACGATAGTACGGATTAGGAAAGAAAAAGCAGCAGTTCCCTGTTATAGTTTAGTCACAGTTATGAGCATGACATTGTTGGATCAGCCCATTTACAATTCTATTGTGCTTTAGAACGAGAAATGTCCCCCCTTTGGGAATGGCAAAAAGACACTTAGTCAGTGGCACCGCCC